TCTCTCATGTTTAGTTTTTTTTTTTCTTCTTTGGTCCAGATTCAAACTCAGTTCATTTAAATTAAAAACACAAAAACACGAATCACATTTGAAACGTGTTTATTTTGCACACGGCACATTCAGGCTTATTAATTATTCACTAATTACACACAAAACACACACACACACACACACACACACACACACACAACACACACACACACACACACACACACACACAACACACACACACACACACACACACACACACACACACACACACACACACACACAACACACACACACACACACACAACACACACACACACACACACACACACACACACACACACACACACACACACACACACACACACACACACACACACACACACACACACACACACACACACACACACACACACACACACACACACACACACACACACACACACACACACACACACACACACACACACACACACACACACACACACACACACACACACACACACACACACACACACACACACACACACACACACACACACACACACACACACACACACACACACACACACACACACACACACACACACACACACACACACACACACACACACACACACACACACACACACACACACACACACACACACACACAACACACACACACACACACACACACACACACACACACACACACACACACACACACACACACACACACACACACACACACACACACACACACACACACACACACACACACACACACACACACACACACACACACACACACACACACACACACACACACACACACACACACACACACACACACACACACACACACACACACACACACACACACACACACACACACACACACACACACACACACACACACACACACACACACACACACACACAACACACACACACACACACACACACACACACACACACACACACACACACACACACACACACACACACACACACACACACACACACACACACACACACACACACACACACACACACACACACACACACACACACACACACACACACACACACACACACACACACACACACACACACACACACACACACACACACACACACACACACACACACACACACACACACACACACACACACACACACACACACACACACACACACACACACACACACACACACACACACACACACACACACACACACACACACACACACACACACACACACACACACACACACACACACACACACACACACACACACACACACACACACACACACACACACACACACACACACAACACACACACACACACACACACACACACACACACACACACACACAGAAAACACACACACACACACACACACACACACACACACACACACACACACACACACACACACACACACACACACTAGGCCATATTCGTTTTTTCATTAAATCTCTGTTATTGTCGTGATTATTTCTACATTTTTTCTTTTTGTGATAATAAAATGTGAAGGTGAAGCTCGGACTTTTTCTTTGACATTTCTGTGTTGTTGTTTGTTGTTTGTTTGTTTGTTTGTTTGTTTGTTTGTTTGTGTGTTTGGTTCGTGGACTCGGCTTTTCTCTGCGGCCCGCGGCGTCATAAAAATAAAATAAAACAAAGAAACGAACAAATCCAGAAGAATCGGATCCCGTCAAAGAGCCGATCCTCTCGTGTCACTGTTCGGGTTTTTGTCGCTGAACGTGACGTCCCCGTGCGTCCTGCCCGCGCGCGCTGCCCTTGTCTTTGCGCCGCACTGCAGATCTGAATGTGGGCCACCCCCCCCCCCCCCCCCACCCCCCCACCCGCACACGCACGGGCCTCACGCACACGCACGAGGATCCCGTTCAAACTGCGCGTGTGAGAGAGTAACCCCCCCCCGCGCGCGCGCCTGCACGTGCACGTCCAGCCTTTTGTTTGTGAGGAGCGCGAGGAGGAGGAGGAGGGGGCGGGGGGGGGCTTTCCCCTCGTGAGCGCGCACACCGGCCGAGCTCGCGCACACACGGAGATTCTCACCTCGTGCACGCGCTTTGGCCCAGAATTAGAAAGAAAAGAAATGAAAAAAAAAAGGATTGAATCCAAAAGGAAAAGAAACAGAGACACGAGACACTGAGGCACTGAGGGGAACGTGAGGAGAAATATATTTAAATAAAACATGAAGGAAAATACATTTTAATAAAAGATGTGGTGGAATTTTTAACGTTTTTCTGCAAGAAAAGAAAAAGAAACTAAACGACGCACGAGCGCGTTTTTATCACCGCCATTTAGTGTTTTTTATTTACAAAAGAAAAATCCAGAAACACGATTAAACCAGGACTAAAACCAGGACTAAACCAAGACTAAATCCAGGACTAAAACCAGAACTAAACCAAGACTAAATCCAGGACTAAACCAAGTCTAAACCAGGACTAAACCAGGACTTAACCAGATTTTAAACCAGGTCTAAAACCAGAACAAAAAAACAGGACTCAACCATAGGACTAAACCAGGTCTAAACCAGGACTAAACCAGGACTAAACCAGGACTAAACCAGGTCTAAACCAGGTCTAAACCAGGACTAAACCAGGACTAAACCAGGTCTAAACAGGTCTAAACCAGGAACTAAACCAGGTCTAAACCAGGTCTAAACCAGGTCTAAACCAGGACTAAACCAGGTCAGGTCTAAACCAGGTCTAAACCAGGACTAAACCAGGTCTAAACCCAGGTCTAAACCAGGTCTAAAACCAGGACTAAACCAGGTCTAAACCAGGACTAAACCAGGACTAAACCAGGACTAAACCAGGTCTAAACCAGGTCTAAACCAGGACTAAACCAGGTCTAAACCAGGTCTAAACCAGGACTAAACCAGGACTAAACCAGGACTAAACCCTGTTCCTGGGTAAAAAGTCGGTGTCAGATGGAAGGGCATCCGACATAAACTTAAACTGAGCCTTTGAGAATTTTCTTCAGAAAAGTGAAACTGAATCTTTGACAGTTTCATGTTAAAGTGAAACAAAATCAAATAAAACTCTCCGCGTTTTTTCTTCCGTTCGTTTTAACGACGCCAGGTCACGTGACATTTTCTGATTAATAATTCAGAATTGTGGGTAAACGCACGAGGAGCCCGCGTGGGTCAAATCTGTCCCGGAAATAAATCAAACATGAAGAGAAACAGAAGTGTGGATTTGTGTTTTATATTTATGTGTTTTATATTTATGTCTTTTATATTTATGTGTTTTATATTTATGTATTTTATATTTATGTCTTTTATATTTATGTGTTTTATATTTATGTGTTAGTGTGTATTTAAATATGTGTGTATATAAATCTGTATTTCGTGTATTTAATGATTTAATTGAATTTGATGATAATAATAATGATCCTCGCGCACAGAAATTTATTTTAAAAATGTCAAATGTCAAATTTCTCATTTTAAACTAAAGCAGTGACCGGAAACAGCGCGGGTTTGTGCGCGCGTTTCTCTCCTGTTGGATTCATGTTTTTGACTCTTAATGAGACAAAAATCACAGAATAATTATTAAAATAATAATTACAATAATTAGAACATATTTTATTTGTTTTTATAAATCAGAAAAAGCGCAGACGCTTTGACCGCGGCGCGTGTCCCGCTCCTCGTGACATTTACGTGATTTGCGCGTGTCCTCGTGCGTGTCCTCGTGCGTGTTCTCGCGCGTGTCCTCGCGCCTCTTGCACATTAATTATTCACGGGGGTAAAGGTGTAGTAAAAGCCCCGGATCGACGCACCGGGATCACGTTACAGCGTGCGTAAAGTGTGCGTAAAGCGTGCGTAAAGTGTGCGTAAAGCGCGTTCACGCCCTGCACGTCTGTGCCACATTTGTCCAACATCAGAGGCGTTTGTGGAGGTTTTTTATCATTTTTATATTCTTTATTCTAAAATATTTAAAACATAAAACGAAATGAAATTTAAACGCGGAGGAACAAATACTGGACCTGGACCTGGACCTGGACCTGGACCTGGACTCTGCGCTAAGAGGCCCCGTCTAATGTCTCTCTCCCCTCTCTCTCTGAACCAGGACTAAACCAGGACTAAACCAGGACTAAACCAGGACTAAACCAGAACTAAACCAGGACTAAACCAGGACTAAACCAGGACTAAACCAGGAACTAAACCAGGACTAAACCAGGACTAAAATCAGGACTAAACCAGGACAAAACAGGACTAAACCAGGACTAAACCAGGACTAAACCAGAACTAAACCAGGACAGGAAACCAGGACTAAACCAGGACTAAACCAGAACTAAACCAGGACAAAACCAGGACTAAATCAGGACTAAACAGGACTAAACCAGGACTAAACCAGGACTAAACCAGGACTAAACCAGGACTAAACCAGGACTAATCAGGACTAAACCAGGACTAAACCAGGACTAAACCAGGACTAAATCAGGACTAAACCAGGACTAAACCAGGACTAAACCAGGACTAAATCAGGACTCACGCAGCCTGTTCTTTTTTTTTTTTCCCCAGTCCCTAAAATAAAAGATTTAATCTTTATAAATCAGCTCGTGTCCAAATGTTTCGTTCGTTTTATTGAAATATAAAGAATCAGATCTCAGTTCGTTAAAACCCGGACGGTCCCGTAAAGCCCCGAACCCCCCGAACCTTCTGCTCTTTGAATTGTTCACGCCTCGGTTCGTTCGCGGTGGAATCGGCTCGTGTAAAGGCCGATCCCGCGGCGCGTGAGACCGTGAAACTCCCGCAGCTCCCACCGATGACCTCTCCCCAAAACCCGCACCAACCCGCACCGCCCGCACCAACCCGCACCGGACCCGCGTGTGTTCTGCTCGTGCGGTTCTGTTCGTGATGTTTACGGCTCGTCACGTGACCTTGGGCGTGAGAGAAGCGCGTGTAAATCAAACAGATTCTTATGAATATTTTCTTTTTTTTTCATGTTTCAAATGGAGGAAAAGGCGCGTGCGTGTGAGGCTCGTGACACTCACCGATGTGCAGAGCTCCGAGCAGCGCGAGGCCCAAACCTCCCATCGTCCCGCGAGCTCCGGAGCCTCAGCGCCACATCCCGCAGCCCGCAGCCGCAAACAGGTGCTCCCCGCGCGGCCTGGCCCCGCGCGCGGCCCGCTCCTCACGCGCGCTCCCCGGGGCGGCTCTGCGGCTCCGCGGCCCCTGATCCGCTCCGGGGCAAGTCCGGGGCAAGTCCGGGTTTAGTCCGGGTGGAGTCCTCGTGTAGTCCCGGTTTAGACTTGGTCTGGACCTGGTCTGGACCTGGTGTAGTCCTGGTTTAGTCCTGGTTTAGTCCTGGTTTGGTCCCGCTCCGCACGGTTCTGCTCGTGCGTAAATCTGAGGCGCAGAGAAAGTGCCCCCCCCCCCCCCCCCTCCCCCCCCCTCTCTCTCTCTCTCTCTGCGCGCGCGCCCTCCTCTTTCTCTTTCCCGCCCTTTTTATTTATTATTTATGATAAATTACGACACTGAGTTTCCCCGCGGGTCACGTGCTCCGTGGATCTGCGCGCGCGGACCTCAGATCTGTGAATGAACCCGCGCGCGTGCGTCACACGAGGCCACGGGATTTTTACTAAAGACACAGAAAAGTCCACAAGAGTCCACAGACTGTCCCCCTGTCTGTCCCCCTGTCTGTCCCCCTGTCTGTCCCCCTGTCTGTCCCCCTGTCTGTCCCCTGTCTGTCCCCCTGTCTGTCCCCCTGTCCCCCTGTCCCCTGTCTGTCCCCTGTCCCCTGTCTGTCCCCTGTCTGTCCTCCTGTCTGTCCACCTGTCTGTCCCCCTGTCCTCCTGTCTGTCCCCTGTCCCTGTCTGTCCCTGTCCCCTGTCTGTCCCCCTGTCTGTGTCCCCCCTGTCTGTCCCCCTGTCCCCCTGTCTGTCCTCCTGTCCCCCTGTCTGTCCCCCTGTCTGTCCCCCTGTCTGTCCTCCTGTCTGTCCCCCTGTCTGTCCCCTGTCCCCTGTCTGTCCCCTGTCTGTCCCCTGTCCCCCTGTCCCCCTGTCCCTGTCTGTCCCCTGTCTGTCCCCCTGTCTGTCCCCTGTCTGTCCCCTGTCTGTCCCCTGTCCCCTGTCCCCTCTGTCCCCTGTCTGTCCCCTGTCTGTCCCCTGTCCCTGTCCCCTGTCTGTCCCCCTGTCCCCCTGTCCCCTGTCTGTCCCCTGTCTGTCCCCCTGTCTGTCCCCCAGCTCCAGACCGTCCCTCTGTCTCTTCCACTCAGTCTGACGCTGCAGCAGGACGGGAGGGCATCTGACACACGGGGACATAGGGACATCCTCTGGACTCCCGCGGGGCCTTGAGCGGCACAGCGGAGGTTTAACCAGGACCGACCTCAGGAGACAGGGTCCGGGCTGAGGTCCGGCTGAGGGTCCGGGTCCGGGGGGGGGGGGGGGGTTCTGGGGTGAGGTTCGGGGTTCGGGGTCTCCGTGGGGGAGATCTGCACGTGCCTAAATTTCCACTTTGTTTAGGGACAAACGTTTTTATTTTATTTTATTTTTATGAATCTGATTTAAATATTGAGACAAAAGTGAAAGTGAAAGTGTGAACGTCAGAGCGCAGAATGTAAACAACACATATGTACACACTCTATATATACTGTATAATATAGTACATACATGTACTGCGCTGTATATATACTGTATATATACTGTATATATACTGTATATATACTGTGTATATACTGTATATATACTGTATATATACTGTACAGTACACATATAGTAAATATACAGTACATAAACAGTACTGATACTGTGTATATTTACTGTATATTTACTGTATATATTTTTCTCTGGTCCAGTGTGGAGGGGGCGGGGCTTTGTGTGGAGGGGGCGGGGCTTGTGTGTGTGATGTAGACACGTGGGAGGAGCTTCAGCGGTGACGTGAGATGTGCGGACGTGATAGAAGCCGGGGGTCCGCAGTGAGGCGTGAGTGAGGGGACAGCGCCCTCTGCTGGACACCCTGCGCCTCTCCACAGACTCTGACTCTGACTCTGACTCTGACTCTGGCTCTCAGATTAAAGCCACACTCTGTCACTTTTGTGCTGGAGGTCAGACACCTGCTCGTCTCCATGGAGATGACATGACTGTGAATGTTCCAGAGTGTCACATTAAACTTAAATCTTCACTGATCCTTTGCAGCTGAAGTCGTCCACAGAGTAAAAAGTGAAGAGTTAAAACTGACTGTGACGGAGTCAATTGAACATTTCCTCAGAGTTTCTCTGAGTCACTCTGTTCTAGAGTTAATTTAACATTTGTGTAAAAGTTCATGAAGTAAAACTGGACCAAAGTTCCTGTTTAACCCAAATCCAGAGTTAAATGAAGGTTTAGAGAGTAAACAGATAACACTTTGTAGAGTTATCCTCATTTAACTCAACAACACACAGAGGAGTTTTATTTTTACTCTTTATTTGAGTTAATTTAAAATGAAATTATGAACAAAACTGGTTCAAACTGGTTCTACTCTCACTTTATGTGATAAAAACAACTCTGAAATATTTCACCCTCCAGTTTTTGCTCGGTACATTTTCTGTTACTGAGTTAGATTTTAATCTGAGTTTTATTTTAACCCGATCTGACCTGACTGACCAGACTGACCTGAGTGACCAGACTGTCCTGACTGACCAGACTGACCTGACTGACCTGAGTGACCAGACTGTCCTGACTGACCAGACTGACCTGACTGACCAGACTGACCTGACTGACCAGACTGACCAGACTGTCCTGACTGACCAGACTGACCAGACTGACCTGACTGACCAGACTGACCAGACTGTCCTGACTGACCTGACTGACCAGACTGTCCTGACTGACCTGAGCTCCAACAGTCGAGTCTCATCTTCAGTGTCAGATCAAACTCATGAGCAGGAGCCTGGACACACGTCTCTGTTCAACACTGCGGGAGTTTATTTTCAGAGTTTTGTCTTCGTTTGTTGTTGTTGCTCTGCGTCTCCATGGAAACTGCTGAACATTCCACCATAGAGGTCCATGTGGAGCACCCCCAGTGTGACGTCCCTGCACTGGTTTTATGGATCATAAGTTCAAAGTCAAACGAGCCTCATCGGTGACCGGCGCTCCTCCTCCTCCACAGAGCCGACCTGTCACCGGACACTGTCGCCGTGGAAACACACCTGGGCTTAAAGTCACACTGTGGAACATTTCAGGTACAGCTGCAGCGTCTCCGTGGAAACAACCAGCAGCTGACTCACACTTTATGCACCTTTAAATAAATCGTTTCCCGTGAGGATCGATACAAGTGTCTCTCCCTCCAGCGGAAAAGTTCCAGGGTGCAGCTTTAAAGGGAAGTTTGTTTCTGTTTTCAGAGTTTTTTGGTGACATCAGGTCACAGGTCACAGGTCACAGGTCACAGGTCAGTCTGACTTCTGCTTCATCAGCACATTTCAAACTTCTGCTTTTCACATTTAACTCAGAACCTCTCCTCAGACCTGGTTTAGTTCTGGTTTAGACCTGGTTTAGTTCTGGTTTAGTCCTGGTTTAGTCTGGTTTAGTTTGGTTTAGTCCTGGTTTAGTCCTGGTTTAGTTCTGGTTTAGTCCTGGTTTAGTCCTGTTTAGTCTGTTTAGTCTTAGTTCTGGTTTAGTCCTGTTCTAGTTCTGGTTTAGTTCTGGTTTAGTCCTGGGTTCTAGTTCTGGTTTTCAGTTCTGTTTAGTTTAGTCCTGGTTTAGTTCCTGGTTTAGTCCTGTTCTAGTTCTGGTTTAGTCCTGTTCTAGTTCTGGTTTAGTTCTGGTTTAGTCCTGTTCTAGTTCTGGTTTAGTTCTGGTTTAGTCCTGGTTTAGTTCTGTTCTAGTTCTGGTTTAGTCCTGGTTTAGTTCTGGTTTAGTCCTGGTTTAGTCCTGTTCTAGTTCTGGTTTAGTTCTGGTTTAGTCCTGTTCTAGTTCTGGTTTAGTTCTGGTTTAGTTCTGGTTTAGTCCTGTTCTAGTTCTGGTTTAGTTCTGGTTTAGTCCTGGTTTAGTTCTTTCTAGTCTGGTTTAGTCCTGGTTTAGTCCTGGTTTAGTTCTGGTTTAGTCCTGTTCTGGTTTAGTTCTGGTTTAGTTCTGGTTTAGTCTGGTTTAGTTCTGGTTTAGTCCTGGTTTAGTCCTGTTCTAGTTCTGGTTTAGTTCTGGTTTAGTCCTGTTCTAGTTCTGGTTTAGTTCTGGTTTAGTCCTGGTTTAGTCCTGTTCTAGTTCTGGTTTAGTTCTGGTTTAGTTCTGGTTTAGTTCTGGTTTAGTTCTGGTTTAGTCCTGGTTTAGTTCTGGTTTAGTTCTTCTGGTTTAGTTCTGGTTTAGTTCTGGTTTAGTCCTGGTTTAGTTCTGGTTCTAGTTCTGTTTAGTTCTGGTTTAGTCCTGTTCTAGTTCTGGTTTAGTTCTGGTTTAGTTCTGGTTTAGTCCTGTTCTAGTTCTGGTTTAGTTCTGGTTTAGTCTGTTTTATCTGTTCTAGTTCTGGTTTAGTCTGGTTTAGTTCTGGTTTAGTCCTGGTTTAGTCCCTGTTTAGTTCTGGTTTAGTTCTGGTTTAGTCCTGTTCTAGTTCTGGTTTAGTTCTGGTTTAGTTCTGGTTTAGTCCTGTTCTAGTTCTGGTTTAGTTCTGGTTTAGTCCTGGTTTAGTTCTGTTCTAGTTCTGGTTTAGTCCTGGTTTAGTTCTGGTTTAGTCCTGGTTTAGTCCTGTTCTAGTTCTGGTTTAGTTCTGGTTTAGTCCTGTTCTAGTTCTGGTTTAGTTCTGGTTTAGTCCTGGTTTAGTTCTGGTTTAGTCCTGTTCTAGTTCTGGTTTAGTTCTGGTTTAGTCCTGTTCTAGTTCTGGTTTAGTCCTGGTTTAGTTCTGTTTTAGACCTGGTTTAGTCCTGTTCTAGTCCTGGTTTAGTTCTGGTTTAGTCCTGTTCTAGTTCTGGTTTAGTCCTGGTTTAGTTCTGTTTTAGACCTGGTTTAGTCCTGTTCTAGTTCTGGTTTAGTCCTGTTCTAGTCCTGGTTTAGTTCTTGTTCAGTTCTGGTTTAGATTTTACATTTTAAACTTTCACTAAATAAACTGAATCAAAAATAAAATAAAAATAAAAACAGTTTTTCTGTCGTTTTCTCTCGGGTCTTTTTTACTGGGTAAGACTCTGTTTCATGTAGGGATCTGAACGTGCACCGGGTCACGTCTGTGTTTTTCTGCTGCTCTGACCTTTGACCTGGGTGTGTTCCTGAAGTGGCTCTGACCCGACTCGAGGTCACGGTCGCTCCGAGAACTTCCCCAAAAACACCGGACCAGACGCCGCAGAAACAGGAACCGCCCCAGAGTTTAAGACCCGGAGCAGACCCGACCCGGACCGGACTCAGGTCTGGACCAGGACTCGACCACATCCCCGACCCGTCTGCTCCTCCCAGAAACAAAACCCCCCGACGGTAAGAAACACCTGCAGCTTCAGCCAGGTCCTGACGAGTCTCTGCTCCACCTGGTGATGTCACACAGTGGTGAACAGATCCTCGTGTTTGTGTTTCAGGATCATGTCTCGTCACGTTCACCACAGAGGAAGATTCAGCAAAACCGTGAGACTCTGACTTCTGCTTCTGTGGCGTTTAGACCTGGTTTAGTCCTGGTTTAGTCCTGGTTTAGTCCTGGTTTAGTCCTGATTTAGTCCTGGTTTAGTCCTGGTTTAGTCTGGTTTAGTCTGGTTTAGTCTGGTTTAGACCTGGTTTAGTCCTGGTTTAGTCCTGGTTTAGTCCTGGTTTAGTCCTGGTTTAGTCCTGGTTTAGTTCTGGTTTAGACCTGGTTTAGTCCTGGTTTAGTCCTGGTTTAGTCCTGGTTTAGTCCTGGTTTAGACCTGGTTTAGTCCTGGTTTAGTCCTGATTTAGTCCTGGTTTAGTCCTGGTTTAGACCTGGTTTAGTCCTGGTTTAGTCTGGTTTAGTTCTGGTTTAGTCCTGGTTTAGACCTGGTTTAGACCTGGTTTAGTCCTGGTTTAGTCCTGGTTTAGACCTGGTTTAGTCCTGGTTTAGTTCTGGTTTAGTCCTGGTTTACACCTGGTTTAGACCCGGTTTAGTCCTGGTTTAGTCCTGGTTTAGTTCTGGTTTAGTCCTGGTTTAGACCTGGTTTAGTCCTGGTTTAGTCCTGGTTTAGTCCTGGTTTAGACCTGGTTTAGTCCTGGTTTAATTCTGGTTTAGTCCTGGTTTACACCTGGTTTAGACCTGGTTTAGTCCTGGTTTAGACCTGGTTTAGTCCTGGTTTAGTCCTGGTTTAGTTCTGGTTTAGTCCTGGTTTAGACCTGGTTTAGACCTGGTTTAGTCCTGGTTTAGACCTGGTTTAGGCCTGGTTTAGTCCTGGTTTAGTCCTGGTTTAGACCTGGTTTAGTTCTAGTTTCTTGGTTTAGTCCTGGTTTTCCTGGTTTAGTCCTGGTTTAGACCTGGTTTAGTCCTGGTTTAGACCTGGTTTAGGCCTGGTTTAGTCCTGGTTTAGTCCTGGTTTAGACCTGGTTTAGTTCTGGTTTAGTTCTTGTTTAGTCCTGGTTTAGTCCTGGTTTAGTCCTGGTTTAATTCTGGTTTAGTCCTGGTTTACACCTGGTTTAGACCCGGTTTAGTCCTGGTTTAGTCCTGGTTTAGTTCTGGTTTAGTCCTGGTTTAGACCTGGTTTAGTTCTGGTTTAGTTCTGGTTTAGTCCTGGTTTAGTCCTGGTTTAGTTCTGGTTTAGTTCTGGTTTAGTCCTGGTTTAGTTCTGGTTTAGTCCTGGTTTAGTCCTGGTTTAGTTCTGGTTTAGACCTGGTTTAGTCCTGGTTTTATCCTGGTTTTAGTTCTGGTTTAGTTCTGGTTTAGTCCTGGTTTAGTTCTGGTTTAGTCTGGTTTAGTCCTGGTTTAGTTCTGGTTTAGACCTGGTTTAGTTCTGGTTTAGTCCTGGTTTAGTCCTGGTTTAGTTCTGGTTTAGTTCTGGTTTAGTCCTGGTTTAGTTCTGGTTTAGTCCTGGTTTAGTTCTTGGTTTAGTTCTGGTTTAGTTCTGGTTTAATCTGGTTTAGTTCTGGTTTAGTTCTGGTTTAGTCCTGGTTTAGTTCTGGTTTAGTCCTGGTTTAGTTCTTGTTTAGTCCTGGTTTAATCCTGGTTTAGTTCTGGTTTAGTCCTGGTTTAATCCTGGTTTAGTCCTGGTTTAGTTCTGGTTTAGTCCTGGTTTAGTCCTGGTTTAGTTCTTGTTGTCTGGTCGTTTAAATTTTAATCGTTTAATTAATTCACTAAAAACTTAGAAAAAAATCGTCTCAACTCAAAAAAGTGAAGTTGATTAAATAAAAATTCTTAATCTTCACAACATAAACTTTTAGAGTTTTTAAACATTTGCTGCTTGTGTGTTTTTTATCAAAGTTAAATTTATTAAATCTCTTTCAGCTCGACTCAAATATTTAGAGTTAAAATAACTCGTAGTTTTGTGTTAAAGCCACAGATCAAAAATCTGAGCAAAACAAAACTTTTTTATTTTAAACAAACTCAGAATGTTTATGTTATTAATTTCACACTCGTCACATTTGTTTGGTTTGTTTTTCTCAGTTTGAAACTATAAAAAAATCTGAACTTTATTATTCTGTGTTTAAGGATTTAAATTTACTCAGTTTGAACAGATTTATGTTTTTAAGTTTTACACCACAAGAGTTTCACTTTAATTCAAATATATGAGTTTAAAAAGTTTATGTGTTTTTGTTTGTTTGTTTGTTTTTGTTTGTTTGTTTTTGTTTGTTTGTTTTTGTTTGGTTTTGTTTTGTTTGTGTTTTTTTTGTTTGTTTGTTTGTTTTTGTTTGTTTGTTTTTGTTTGTTTTTGTTTGTTTGTTTTTTGTTTGTTTGTTTTTGTTTGTTTGTTTGTTTGTTTTGTTTGTTTGTTTGTTTGTTTTCAGGACGATGTGGTGAATCTTGTTGACAAAGACTCGGAGGTTTTTCCTCAGTTTGAGGCGTTCGACGGCGTCGACGTCACACCAAGATCATCCTCAGGAAGTACGACCAAATATGGACATGTGACATCATCACAGCTCCTCATATGTGTCCTTGTCTCCTCACTTGTGTCCTTGCGTCCTCATTTGTATCCTTGTCTCCTTACTCATTTCCTCACTTGTGTCCTCAGCTCCTCACTCGTCTCCTCTCTTGCGTCCTTATTTCCTCACTTGTCTCCTCTCTTGTGCCCTCGTCTCCTCACTCGTCTCCTCACTCGTGTCCTCTCTCGCGTCCTCGTCTCCTCACTCGTCTCCTCACTTGTCTCCTCTCTCGCGTCCTCGTCTCCTCACTCATCTCCTCACTTGTCTCCTCTCTTGCGTCCTCGTCTCCTCACTCGTGTCCTCACTCGTCTCCTCACTCGTCTCCTCACTTGTCTCCTCTCTTGCGTCCTCGTCTCCTCACTCGTGTCCTCACTCGTCTCCTCACTCGTCTCCTCTCCTTGCGTCCTCGTGTCCTCACTCGTGTCCTCACTCGTGTCCTCTCCTCGTGTCCTCAGGTCCTCTGTCGGTGCAGGACGTGGACTTGATGAAGTCCATGAACGCGTCGGCTCACCGGACGGCGGCGTATCAAACTGAGGCTCTGGTGATTCGCCGAGGAGACCCGTTCTTCCTCAAACTCACCTTCAACCGACCAATCAGGGACCAGGACAGCTTCCAGGTCCAGTTCCGCATCGGTGAGTCTCCTGTCACACCTGTCGCACCTGTCGCACCTGACACACCTGCCCCTGTCACACCTGTCGCACCTGCTCCTGTCGAACCTGTCGCACCTGCTCCTGTCGCACCTGCTCCTGTCGCACCTGCTCCTGTCGCACCTGCTCCTGTCGCACCTGCTCCTGTCGCACCTGTCGCACCTGCTCCTGTCGCACCTGCTCCTGCACCTGCCTGTGCACCTGACCTGTCGCACCTGCTCCTGTCGCACCTGCTCCTGTCGCACCTGCTCCTGTCGCACCTGCTCCTGTCACACCTGCTCACACCTGCTCCTGTCAACCTGTCGCACCTGCTCCTGTCACACCTGCTCCTGTCGCACCTGTCGCACCTGCTCCTGTCACACCTGCTCCTGTCACACCTGCTCCATTAAAACTACAAAACAAAAGTTGCGGCGTCAGAAAACGTCACAATCACCAGTTAGCATTAGCATTAGCGTTAGCGTTAGCATTAGCATTAGCGTTAGCATTAGCGTTAGCGTTAGCGTTAGCGTTAGCATTAGCATTAGCATTAGCATTAGCATTAGCATTAGCGTTAGCGTTAGCCAACAGTTTTTCGGTTCGTCACTTTCTCGTTTTACGTGTCAAATCAAACTCGTGAACAGGATCATGATGCTCTGACCGCAGGAACATAAACACATTTCATCACTTTTGTATTTTTGTATTTCTGTCAGTTAAATGTGTGCGTTGTGTCTCCATGGTAACTGCTGAACATTCCTCCACAGAGATAATGTTCTAAAATGTGACTTTAGTTTATTTGTGGTGACAGAGGAGAGTCAGGACGTTGTGTGCGTGTTTGTTTCTCGTGGAGAGCTCCTGTAACGTCGCAGATCTGATCCGTAAACCTCGTCACACGTCTGTTTCTCCCTCCGGACGCCTCATTAAAACATTAGCCTCATTTTGCTCGTTTGCTTCGTTTGGCTCGTGTGGCTCGTGTGGCTCGTTAGCTCCAAAAACTCCAGCTCCCACAATCCCACAGGTTTTACCCAGAATCCCTCTGGTGCGCACAGATGTGGAGGACAGATGTGGAGCTGCTCAAACATCTGGAGGAGGAAACCAACCAGAGCTGAGAAAGACATCACCCACAAAAAACACAAACACAGACACGAGACACGAGGCACGAGACACGAGGCAGGGACCTGGACTAGACCTGGTTTAAGTCCAGTTTTAGTCCTAATTTAGTCCTGGTCCTGTCCTGGTTTAGTCCTGGTTCAGTCCTGGTTCAGTCCTGGTTTAGTTCTGGTTCAGTCCTGGTTTAGTCCTGGTTTAGTCCTGGTTCAGTCCTGGTCCAGTCCTGGTCCAGTCCTGGTTCAGTCCTGGTTCCAGTCCTGGTTCAGTCCTGGTTCAGTCCTGGTCCAGTCCTGGTTCAGTCCTGGTCCAGTCCTGGTTCAGTCCTGGTCCAGTCCTGGTTTAGTTCTGGTTCAGTCCTGGTTCAGTCCTGGTCCAGTCCTGGTTTAGTCCTGGTTCAGTCCTGGTCCAGTCCTGGTTTAGTCCTGGTTCAGTCCTGGTTTAATCCTGGTCTCTGTTTCAGGAGCGAACCCAAACGAGCTGCGTAAGTCCCTGGTGGTGGTGTCGTTCTCGGGTCTGGTCGGGTCGGGTCCGTGGGCGGCGTCGGCGTCGGAGCAGCAGGGGGCGCTGATGCTCCAGATCACCCCTTCGACGGACGCCGTGGTTGGTCGATACCGGGTGGCGGTGGGCGTGGCTTTGGCCAACGGGCTCCAGTTCACCGGACCCGAACTCCAGCCGTACCTGTACCTCCTGTTCAACGCCTTCAACCCCGGTGAGTCCAGGCCAGATCCGGGCCGGGTCCAAACTGGGTCCAGGCCGGGTCTAGGCCAGGTCCAGACTGGGTTTAGTTCTGGTTTAGTCCTGGTTTAGTCCTGGTTTAAGTCATGTTTTCATTCTCTAGTGTTTTCTAAATGTGACACATGGGGGGGTCACGTGACACACGGGGGGGGTCATGTGACCGTTGTTGTTGTTGTTGTTGTTGTTGTTGCTAGGCGACAGTGCGTTCCTGAAGGCGGGGCATGAGGAGTACGTCCTGAACGACTCTGGAGAGATTTACATCGGCTCCATGAACCAAGAGTACGCGAAAAACTGGAACTACGGACAGGTACTGCATAAAATACTGCATAAAGTACTGCATAAAATACTGCAGAAAGTACTGCAGAAAATACTGCAGAAAGTACTGCAGAAAGTACTGCATACAGTATAGTACTGCGTACGGGAGTTCTGCATATGGTACTGTGCAAGGGTAATACACAGCAATACTGCATATAGTACTACACACAGTACTGCATATGAGTACTGCACATCAGTTTAAGGCAGGCATGTATTGTTACTATAGTATTAGTACTTTTAAAGTATATTTTGTGTACTTTGTGTATTTTATGTACCAGTTTGAGGTGAGTGTGTATTGGTACTACAGTAGTAGTACTTTTAAAGTACTCTGTGTACTGTGTGTACTACGTGTACTATGTGTATTGTGTGTACTGTGTGTACTGTGTGTATATTTGTGTGTGTAGTATATTTGTGTGTATATTTGTGTGTACTCTGTGTATATTTGTGTGTACTCTGTGTATATTTGTGTGTATATTTGTGTGTATTGTGTGTATATTTGTGTGTATATTTGTGTGTATATTTGTGTGTATTGTGTATATTGTGTGTATATTTGTGTGTATTGTGTGTATATATTTGTGTGTATATTTGTGTGTATATTTGTGTGTATATTGTGTGTGTACTCTGTGTATATTTGTGTGTATATTTGTGTGTATATTGTGTGTATATTTGTGTGTATATTTGTGTATATTTGTGTGTATATTTGTGTGTGTGTATATTTGTGTGTGTATATTTGTGTGTATATTTGTGTGTGTGTATATTTGTGTGTATATTTGTGTGTATATTTGTGTGTATATTTGTGTGTGTGTATATTTGTGTGTATATTTGTGTGTATATTTGTGTGTGTATATTTGTGTGTATATTGTGTGTATATTTGTGTGTGTGTATATTTGTGTGTATATTTGTGTGTATATGTGTATTTGTGTGTATATTTGTGTGTATATTTGTGTGTGTATATTGTGTGTATATTTGTGTATATTTGTGTGTGTATATTTGTGTGTATATTTGTGTGTATATTTGTGTGTATATTTTGTGTGTATATTTGTGTATATTTGTGTGTATATTTGTGTGTATATTTGTGTGTATATTTGTGTGTATATTGTGTATTGTGTGTTATTTGTGTGTATATTGTGTGTGTATTTGTGTGTATTTGTGTGTATTTGTGTGTATATGTTGTGTGTATATTTGTGTGTATATTTGTGTGTATATTGTGTGTATATTTGTGTGTAATATTTGTGTATTTGTGTGTATATTTGTGTGTATATTTTGTGTGTGTATTTTGTGTGTATATTTGTGTGTATATTTGTGTGTATATTTGTGTGTATATTTGTGTATTTGTGTGTATTTGTGTGTATATTTGTGTGTATATTTGTGTGTATATTTGTGTGTATATTTGTGTATATATTTGTGTGTATTTGTGTGTATATTTGTGTGTATATTTGTGTGTATATTGTGTGTATATTTGTGTGTATATTTGTGTGTATATTTGTGTGTATATTTGTGTATATTTTGTGTGTATATTTGTGTGTATATTTGTGTGTATATTTGTGTGTATATTTGTATATTTGTGTATATTTGTGTGTATATTTGTGTGTATATTTGTGTGTATATTTGTGTGTATATTTGTGTGTGTATTTGTGTGTATATTTGTGTGTGTATTTGTGTGTATATTTGTGTGTATTTGTGTGTATATTTGTGTGTATTTGTGTGTATATTTGTGTGTATATTGTGTGTATATATTTGTGTGTATATTTGTGTATATTTGTGTGTATATTTGTGTGTATATTTGTGTGTATATTTGTGTGTATATTTGTGTATATTTGTGTGTATATTTGTGTGTATTTGTGTGTATATTTGTGTGTATATTGTGTGTATATTTGTGTATATTGTGTGTATATTTGTGTGTATATTTGTGTATATTGTGTGTATTTGTGTGTATTTGTGTGTATATTTGTGTGTATATTTGTGTATATTGTGTGTATATTTGTGTATATTTGTGTGTATATTTGTGTGTATATTGTGTGTATATTTGTGTATATTGTGTATATTTGTGTATATTTTGTGTGTATTTGTGTGTATTTGTGTGTATATTTGTGTGTATTTGTGTGTATATTTGTGTGTATATTTGTGTGTATATTTGTGTATATTTGTGTGTATATTTGTGTGTACTCTGTAGTACGAGGCTGGAGTACTGGAGGCTTGTATCTTCATCATGGACAAATCTCAGCTCCCGATCGCCGACAGAGGAGACGCCGTGAAAGTCGTGAGGATGGCCTCCGCCATGGTCAGAACTCAACCAGGACTAAACCAGGACTCAACCAGGACTCAACCAGGACTAAACCAGGACTAAACCAGGACTGAACCAGGTCTGTGTTGTGGTGCAGATAAACTCTCAGGACGATGACGGTGTCCTCGTGGGAAACTGGAGCGACGACTTTTCTCTGGGAAAGTCTCCGATGTTCTGGACGGGTTCGGTCCAGATCCTGCTGCAGTTCCACAACACCGGGGCCCCGGTCGCCTACGCCCAGTGCTGGGTCTACGCCGGGGTCCTCAACACCTGTGAGTGCGCCGGCCAATCACACGCCGAGGCACCTGCGAGCCCCGCCCACACACTGCTACAGCCAATCACACGCCGAGGCACCTGCGAGCCCCGCCCACACACTGCTACAGCCAATCACACGCTGAGGCACCTGCGAGCCCCGCCCACACACTGCTACAGCCAATCACACACTGAGGCACCTGCGAGCCCCGCCCACACACTGCTACAACCAATCACACGCTGAGGCACCTGCGAGCCCCGCCCACACACTGCTACAGCCAATCACACACTGAGGCACCTGCGAGCCCCGCCCACACACTGCTACAGCCAATCACACGCTCCCAGAGCCAATCACACGCTGAGGGATCAGTGAGCCCTGCCCCCACATGTATCCACAGCCAGTCACATGCCCTGGTTTAGTCCTGTTGTCCTCTCAGTCCTCAGGTGTCTCGGTCTGGTTTAGTCCTGGTTTAGTCCTGGTTTAGTCCTGTTGTCCTCTCAGTCCTCAGGTGTCTCGGTCTGGTTTAGTCCTGGTTTAGTCCTGGTTTAGTCCTGTTGTCCTCTCAGTCCTCAGGTGTCTCGGTCTGGTTTAGTCCTGGTTTAGTCCTGGTTTAGTCCTGTTGTCCTCTCAGTCCTCAGGTGTCTCGGTCTGGTTTAGTCCTGGTTTAGTCCTGGTTTAGTCCTGTTGTCCTCTCAGTCCTCAGGTGTCTCGGTCTGGTTTAGTCCTGGTTTAGTCCTGGTTTAGTCCTGTTGTCCTCTCAGTCCTCAGGTGTCTCGGTCTGGTTTAGTCCTGGTTTAGTCCTGGTTTAGTCCTGTTGTCCTCTCAGTCCTCAGGTGTCTCGGTCTGGTTTAGTCCTGGTTTAGTCCTGTTGTCCTCTCAGTCCTCAGGTGTCTGGGTTTTGCGTCTCGTGTCATCACAAACTTCTCGTCCGCTCACGACAACGACGGAAACCTGAAGACCGACCTGATCTTCACCTCAGACCTTCAGCCGGACTCCAGGCGCACCAGGGACTCCATCTGGTGAGTCCTGGTTCAGTCCTGGTTTAGTCCTGGTTTAGTCCTGGTTCAGTCCTGGTTCAGTCCTGGTTCAGTCCTGGTTTCAGTCCTGTGTCTGTTGTAGGAACTATCACTGTTGGAACGAGGTTTTCCTGAAGCGCTCCGACATCCCCGACGAGTACAGCGGGTGGCAGGTGATCGACGCCACGCCGCAGGAAACCAGCGATGGTACGACCGCCACAGTAAAACTCACACTGCCAAAATAAAACACACTTTCACAATAAAACATACACACCTTCATAGTTAAACACACACACCGCCACAATAAAACTTACACCTTCATAATAAAACACACACACCGCCACAATAAAACACACACACCGCCAAAATAAAACTTACACCTTCATAATAAAACACAGACACCTTCACAATAAAACACACCCTTTCACAGTAAAAGCCTCTAAAGTCTCTGTTGTTTCAGGACATTATCGCTGTGGCCCGGCGTCTGTCTTGGCCATCAAGAAAGGAAAAGTGTGTTACCCTTTCGACGCCAGATTCATCTTCGCCGAGGTCAGAGCGAAAGGGTCAAAGACACACTAATGACACGCTAATAACACATTTATAACACATTTATAACACATTTAAAACACACTAATTACATGCTATTAACACATATAAAACACACTAATAACACACTAATGACACGCTAATTACACATTTATAACACATTTATAACACATTTATAACACATTAATAACACATTTAAAACACATTATTAACACACTAATGACATGCTAATAACACATTTATAACACATTTAAAACACAGTAATAACACACTCATAACACATTAATAACACACTAATAACCTCCTCCTCCTTCTCCTCCGTCTCCTTCTTCTTCTTCTTCTTCCTCTTCCTCCTCTTCCTCCTCTTCTTCCTCCAGGTGAACAGTGACATCTTGTATCACATTCGAGACAAATATGGAAATCTGAGTCTCCTCAAAGTCGACAAGAAAACTGTCGGAAAAAAACTCCTCACCAAATCTCCACAGGGATACCAGCCCCTGGAGCTCACCTGGGAGTACAAACACAACGAGGGTGAGGCCTGGTCCAGACCTGGTCCAGACCTGGTCCAGACCTGGTCCAGACCTGGTTCAGACCTGATTTAGACCTGGTCCGGTCCCGGTTTGGTCCTGGTTCAGTCCTGGTTCTGTTTCAGACACTCCTGAAGGCGAGAGGAGAAACGAGGAGGCGTTGGCGACGGCCGAGAGTTTGGGCTGCAGCAGAGACCACACGGAGACTCCGCCCACTTCCCTCAGCGTCACCATCAACACCAAGAAGGTACGAACCAATCAGAGCGCAGCGTCCGGCCCAAATGAGGCTCATCGAGGGCAGCGGCTACAGCGGAGGGTCTGGAGCCAGGACCAGACTCAGACTCAGATAATAAATAATACAATAACAAAGAGAAAAAATATAAATGTAATAATAAATTCAAAACAAGAAGCAAAAAAGAAACAGGTGTGAAATAAAACATAATTATATAAATGTAAATAAGGCAAAATAAAATTGAAGAATAAGAAATAAAATATAAAATCTCAGCTATAAACAGGGTTATCTGTTACAGTTGTAGGGAGTATTATCTGTTACATGACATGTTACATGTTTTAAAAAAGGCCCTGAAGATGATTACAAAAACAAAAGTTTCTGAAGATGATTTTTTTAAAAGTCCATGAAGATGATTTAAAAAAGAAAATAAAACTCCCTGAAGACATTAAAAAAGTCCCTGAAAAAGTAAAATAAATAAATAAATAAAAAATACAAGTCCCTGAAGACGTTTAAAAAATAAAATAAAAGTCCCTGAAGACATTTTTTTAAAAAGTCCCTAAAGACATAAAAAAAAAAAAAAAAGTCTCTTAAGACAATTTAAAAAAAAAGAGAAATAGAGTGGCCATTGTTTTTCCACACAAACTGAGCTGGAGCGTGAGTCCGTGGAGCCCGCTCTCGCCCGCTCTCGCCCGTCGCCCGCTCTCGCCCGCTCTCGCCCGCTCTCGCCCGCTCTCTCGCCCGCTCTCGCCCGCTCTCTCGCCCGCTCTCGCCCACTCTCGCCCGCTCTCGCCCGCTCTCACATCCTGTCCTCGTGTCCTTGTCCTCAGAGCTACGTGGGACGTCCCGTGGAGGCGCTCGTCGACTTTGTGAACCAATCAGATTCCTCGCTGCAGACTCAGGTGACGGTTTCCGTGGAGACGATCTACTACACGGGCGTGAGGTCACAGGAAGTGCACAAGGAGGATTACCCCCTCGTCCTGCCCCCCCGCTCCAGTAAGAACCACACGGGAGGGCATCTGACACAATCTGACACACGGGAGGGCATCCTGCAGACCTGGTTCAGTCCTGGTTCAGTCCTGGTTCAGTCCTGGTTCAGTCCTGGTTCAGTCCTGGTTTCAGTCCTGGTTTAGTCCTGGTTCAGTCCTGGTTCAGTCCTGGTTCAGTCCTGGTTTAGTCCTGGTTTAGTCCTGGTTCAGTCCTGGTTCAGTCCTGGTTCAGTCCTGGTTTAGTCCTGGTTCAGTCCTGGTTTAGTCCTGGTTCAGTCCTGGTTCAGTCCTGTTTAGTCCTGGTTCAGTCCTGGTTCAGTCCTGGTTTAGTCCTGGTTTAGTCCTGGTTCAGTCCTGGTTTAGTCCTGGTTTAGTCCTGGTTTAGTCCTGGTTTCAGTCCTGGTTTAGTCCTGGTTCAGTCCTGTTTTAGTCCTGGTTCAGTCCTGGTTTAGTCCTGGTTCAGTCCTGGTTTAGTCCTGGTTCAGTCCTGGTTTAGTCCTGGTTTAGTCCTGGTTTAGTCCTGGTTTAGTCCTGGTTCAGTCCTGTTTTAGTCCTGGTTCAGTCCTGGTTTAGTCCTGGTTTCAGTCCTGGTTTAGTCCTGGTTCAGTCCTGGTTTAGTCCTGGTTCAGTCCTGGTTTAGTCCTGTTTTAGTCCTGGTTCAGTCCTGGTTTAGTCCTGGTTCAGTCCTGGTTTAGTCCTGGTTCAGTCCTGGTTTAGTCCTGGTTTCAGTCCTGGTTAGTCCTGGTTTAGTCCTGGTTCAGTCCTGGTTTAGTCCTGGTTCAGTCCTGGTTCAGTCCTGTTTTAGTCCTGGTTCAGTCCTAGTTTTAGTCCTGGTTTAGTCCTGGTTCAGTCCTGGTTTAGTCCTGGTTTAGTCCTGGTTTAGTCCTGGTTCAGTCCTGGTTCAGTCCTGGTTTAGTCCTGGTTTAGTCCTGGTTAGTCCTGGTTTAGTCCTGGTTTAGTCCTGGTTTAGTCCTGTTTTAGTCCTGGTTCAGTCCTGGTTTAGTCCTGGTTCAGTCCTGTTTTAGTCCAGGTTTAGTCCTGGTTCAGTCCTGGTTTAGTCCTGTTTTAGTCCTGGTTCAGTCCTGGTTTAGTCCTGGTTAGTCCTGGTTTAGTCCTGTTTCAGTCCTGGTTCAGTCCTGGTTTAGTCCTGGTTTAGTCTGTTTTAGTCCTGGTTTTAGTCCTGGTTAGTCCTGGTTAGTCCTGTTAGTCCTGGTTCAGTCCTGGTTTAGTCCTGGTTCAGTCCTGGTTTAGTCCTGGTTCAGTCCTGGTTCAGTCCTGGTTTAGTCCTGGTTCAGTCCTGTTTTAGTCCAGGTTTAGTCCTGGTTCAGTCCTGGTTTAGTCCTGGTTTAGTCCTGGTTCAGTCCTGTTTTAGTCCAGGTTTAGTCCTGGTTTAGTCTTGGTTTAGTCCTGGTTCAGTCCTGTTTTAGTCCTGGTTTAGTCCTGGTTCAGTCCTGGTTTAGTCCTGGTTTAGTCCTGGTTCAGTCCTGGTTCAGTCCTGTTTTAGTCCTGGTTTAGTCCTGGTTCAGTCCTGGTTTAGTCCTGGTTCAGTTCTGTTTTAGTCCTGGTTTAGTCCTGGTTCAGTCCTGGTTCAGTCCTGGTTCAGTCCTGTTTTAGTCCTGGTTCAGTCCTGTTTTAGTCCAGGTTTAGTCCTGGTTCAGTCCTGGTTTAGTCCTGGTTTAGTCCTGGTTCAGTCCTGGTTTTGTCCTGGTTCAGTCCTGTTTTAGTCCAGGTTTAGTCCTGGTTTAGTCCTTGGTTTAGTCCTGGTTCAGTCCTGTTTTAGTCCTGGTTTAGTCCTGGTTCAGTCCTGTTTTAGTCCTGGTTTAGTCCTGGTTTAGTCCTGGTTCAGTCCTGTTTTAGTCCTGGTTTAGTCCTGGTTCAGTCCTGTTTTAGTCCTGGTTTAGTCCTGGTTTAGTCCTGGTTCAGTCCTGGTTTAGTCCTGGTTCAGTCCTGGTTCAGTCCTGTTTTAGTCCTGGTTTAGTCCTGGTTCAGTCCTGGTTTAGTCCTGGTTCAGTTCTGTTTTAGTCCTGGTTTAGTCCTGGTTCAGTCCTGGTTTACAGTCTGGTTCAGTCCTGTTTTAGTCCTGGTTCAGTCCTGTTTTAGTCCTGTTCAGTCCTGTTTTAGTCCTGGTTCAGTCCTGGTTTAGTCCTGGTTTAGTCCTGTTTTAGTCCTGGTTCAGTCCTGTTTTAGTCCTGGTTCAGTCCTGGTTTAGTCCTGGTTCAGTCCTGTTTTAGTCCTGGTTTAGTCCTGGTTTAGTCCTGGTTTAGTCCTGGTTCAGTCCTGTTTTAGTCCTGGTTTAGTCCTGGTTCAGTCCTGTTTTAGTCCTGGTTTAGTCCTGGTTTTAGTCCTGTTTTTAGTCCTGGTTTTAGTCCTGGTTCAGTCCTGGTTTAGTCCTGGTTTAGTCCTGGTTTAGTCCTGGTTCAGTCCTGGTTTAGTCCTGGTTCAGTCCTGGTTCAGTCCTGTTTTAGTCCTGGTTCAGTCCTGGTTTAGTCCTGGTTCAGTCCTGTTTTAGTCCTGGTTTAGTCCTGGTTCAGTCCTGGTTTAGTCCTGGTTCAGTCCTGTTTTAGTCCTGTTTAGTCCTGTTTAGTCCTGGTTCAGTCCTGGTCAGTCCTGTTTAGTCCTGGTTCAGTCCTGTTTTAGTCCTGGTTCAGTCCTGGTTTAGTCCTGGTTTAGTCCTGTTTTAGTCCTGGTTCAGTCCTGTTTAGTCCTGGTTCAGTCCTGTTTTAGTCCTGGTTCAGTCCTGGTTTAGTCCTGGTTCAGTCCTGTTTAGTCCTGGTTCAGTCCTGTTTTAGTCCTGGTTTAGTCCTGGTTTAGTCCTGGTTCAGTCCTGTTTTAGTCCTGGTTCAGTACTGGTTTAGACCTGGTTTAGTTCTGGTTCAGTCCTGGTTCTGACGGTGCTGTTGGTCTCCAGCCCAGCAGATGGCGCTGTCTGTTTCTCCTCATGAGTACCTGCCGGTTCTGGGGCAACAGCCGAACCTGAAGATCTCGGTGTCGGTCCGAGCGCCGCCCAACGTGATGGTGACCGAGTCCGCCGTGGTCAGTCTGGAGGTGCTCTGGCTCCAGCTGCAGGTCAGACCCGGACCAGGACCAGACCCAGACCCAGACTCAGACTCAGACCCGGACCAGGACCAGACCCAGACCCGGACTCAGACTGGGACCAGGACCAGACCCAGACCCGGACCTAGACCGAGACCAAGACCAGAGACCGAGACCAAGACCAGAGACCAAGACCAGAGACCAAGACCAGAGACCAGACTCTGAGGATCTTTCACAGCGACAGCAGTTGTTGCACCAGTCGTTCCGTTAGATCCAGAAGCTCTGAGTTTGGTTTTGTTTTTATTTTTGTTGGTGTAAAATCTTCAGTCTCACTTGGATTTGTATAAATCAAACGGACCGAGACTCAAAAAAGAACTGGTCTCAGTCCAACTGAATCTGCACCGAACTCTGGTCCCTCTGGTCAGACGCCAACTCAGGTCCAAACCAACTGTTCCAGATGCATCATGGGAGGAGAGTCAGTTGAGTTTGCTCCTTTCACACCTGCAAACCAACAAAAACTGATCCCAGAGTCGTTTCAGCAGAGTTCATCTTCTGGTTGAAATAAGCAGCAGGTTTGTGTCTCTGTGGAGCGACTCTGGTGCGTCGGGACTCGATCTGGAGGAGTCGGCGAAGGCGTCGAGCGTCATTTCAGGCAAAACCCAAAGACCCACGAGGTCGATGTCCCTCCCATGATGCATCTGGAACAGCCGGTCTGGACCCACAGTCTCTGGTTTGGACCTGAGGGACCAGAGTTTGGTGTTTGGTGCAGAGGCAAGTGACTGAGAGCAGCTCTTTAATGAGTCTCAGTCCGTTTGATTTAGAGCAGATCAGAGTGAGACTGAAGATTTGACACCAACAAAAACCAAAACCAACAAAAACCAAAACCAACAAAAACCAAAAACAAAAACACAAAACCAAAACCAAAAAACAAAACCAACAAAAACCAAAACAACAAAAACAAAACAAACAAAAAACAAAACAAAAAACAAAAAAAACAACAAAACAAAAACAAAAACCAAAAACAAAAACAAAACAACAAAAAAAAAAACAAAAACAAAACCAACAAAAACCAAAACCAAACAAAAACCAAAACCAACAAAAACAAAAACCAACAAAAACCAAAACAAACAAAAAACAAAACCAACAAAAAACAAAACCAACAAAAAACAAAACCAACTATGAGCTTCATGGATCAGTGGAACATTTGGTGCAACAACTGCAGTCGCTGTGATAGAACCTCGTGAGTCTCTGTGACCTGTGTCTGTGTCTGTGTCTGTGTCTCTGTGTCTGTGTCTGTGTCTCTGTGTCTCTGTGTCTGTGTCTCTGTGTCTCTGTGTCTCTGTGTCTGTGTCTGTGTCTCTGTGTCTCTGTGTCTCTGTGTCTCTGTGTCTCTGTGTCTCTGTGTCTCTGTGTCTCTGTGTCTGTGTCTGTGTCTGTGTCTCTGTGTCTCTGTGTCTCTGTGTCTGTGTCTCTGTGTCTCTGTGTCTGTGTCTGTGTCTCTGTCTGTGTCTCTGTGTCTGTGTCTCTGTGTCTCTGTGTCTCTGTGTCTCTGTGTCTCTGTGTCTCTGTGTCTGTGTCTGTGTCTCTGTGTCTCTGTGTCTCTGTGTCTCTGTGTCTGTGTCTGTGTCTGTGTCTGTGTCTCTGTGTCTCTGTGTCTGTGTCTCTGTGTCTGTGTCTCTGTGTGTCTGTGTCTGTGTCTCTGTGTCTGTGTCTCTGTGTCTCTGTGTCTGTGTCTGTGTCTCTGTGTCTCTGTGTCTCTGTGTCTGTGTCTGTGTCTCTGTGTCTGTGTCTGTCTGTGTCTGTGTCTGTGTCTCTGTGTCTCTGTGTCTGTGTCTGTGTCTGTGTCTCTGTGTCTCTGTGTCTGTGTGTCTCTGTGTCTCTGTGTCTCTGTGTCTCTGTGTCTCTGTGTCTGTGTCTGTGTCTCTGTGTCTCTGTGTCTCTGTGTCTGTGTCTCTGTGTCTCTGTGTCTCTGTGTCTGTGTCTGTGTCTGTGTCTCTGTGTCTCTGTGTCTCTGTGTCTCTGTGTCTGTGTCTCTCTGTGTCTGTGTCTCTGTGTCTCTGTGTCTCTGTGTCTCTGTGTCTCTCTGTGTCTCTGTGTCTCTGTGTCTGTGTCTCTGTGTCTCTTGTGTCTCTGTGTCTCTGTGTCTGTGTCTGTGTCTGTGTCTGTGTCTGTGTCTCTGTGTCTGTGTCTGTCTCTGTGTCTGTGTCTCTGTGTCTCTTGTGTCTCTGTGTCTCTGTCTCTGTGTCTGTGTGTCTGTATCTGTGTCTCTGTGTCTCTGTCTCTGTGTCTCTGTGTCTCTGTGTCTCTCTGTGTCTGTGTCTCTGTGTCTCTGTGTCTGTGTCTCTGTGTCTCTGTCTCTGTGTCTGTGTCTCTGTGTCTGTGTCTGTGTCTGTCTCTGTGTCTGTGTCTCTGTGTGTCTGTGTCTCTGTGTCTGTGTCTGTGTCTGTGTCTCTGTGTCTCTGTGTCTGTGTCTGTGTCTGTGTCTCTGTGTCTCTGTGTCTGTGTCTGTGTCTGTGTCTCTGTGTCTGTGTCTGTGTCTGTGTCTCTGTGTCTGTGTCTGTGTCTCTGTGTCTCTGTGTCTGTGTCTGTGTCTCTGTGTCTCTGTGTCTGTGTCTGTGTCTGTGTCTGTGTCTGTGTCTCTGTGTCTCTGTGTCTGTGTCTCTGTGTCTCTGTGTCTGTGTCTCTGTGTCTCTGTGTCTCTCTGTGTCTCTGTGTCTCTGTCTCTGTGTCTGTGTCTGTCTGTGTCTCTCTGTGTCTCTGTGTCTCTGTGTCTGTGTCTCTCTGTGTCTCTGTGTCTCTGTGTCTCTGTGTCTCTGTGTCTCTGTGTCTCTGTGTCTGTGTGTCTGTGTCTCTGTGTCTGTCTGTGTCTCTGTCTGTGTCTCTGTGTCTCTGTGTCTCTGTGTCTCTGTGTGTCTGTGTCTCTGTGTCTCTGTCTCTGTGTCTGTGTCTGTGTGTCTCTGTGTCTGTGTCTCTGTGTCTCTGTCTGTGTCTCTGTGTCTCTGTGTCTCTGTCTGTGTCTGTGTCTGTGTCTCTGTGTCTCTGTCTCTGTGTCTCTGTGTCTCTGTCTCTGTGTCTCTGTGTCTCTGTGTCTGTGTCTCTGTGTCTCTGTGTCTCTGTGTCTGTGTCTCTGTGTCTCTGTGTTTCTGTCTCTGTGTCTGTGTGTCTGTGTCTGTCTCTGTGTCTCTGTGTCTCTGTCTCTGTGTCTCTGTCTCTGTGTCTGTGTCTCTGTGTCTCTGTGTCTCTGTGTCTCTGTGTCTCTGTGTCTGTGTCTGTGTCTGTCTGTCTCTGTGTCTCTGTGTCTCTGTGTCTGTGTCTCTGTGTCTCTGTGTCTCTGTCTCTGTGTCTCTGTCTCTGTGTCTCTGTGTCTGTGTCTCTGTGTCTGTGTCTCTGTGTCTCTGTGTCTCTGTGTCTCTGTGTCTCTGTCTCTGTGTCTCTGTGTCTGTGTCTCTGTGTCTCTGTGTCTCTGTGTCTGTGTCTCTGTGTCTGTGTCTGTGTCTGTGTCTCTGTGTCTCTGTGTCTCTGTGTCTCTATGTCGCCCCCTGCAGGTTTCTTCTCCGGTGCGTCTGGGGCAAAAAGGCGTCGTCTCTGTTTCCTTCACAAACAAACTGGACATCGCCCTGAGCCGCCCGGCGCTGGGACTGGAGGGACCCGGGCTGCTCCCCTTCAGGACCAAGGAGTTTGAGTAAGACGCTAACTGTGGGCACTGCTCTGTCTGAGGCTCATGAAACTCAATGTCCCAGAATCCTCCGCTCCGCTCTGTTCTGCTCTGTCCTGTCCTGTTCTGCTGTGGTTTCCTGCAGTTGTGTTTTGTTTCATTCACCTGTTTAACACACAAACCTGCACATTTAACACCACCTTGTGATGTCATCATGTGGTCTGTTTTTGAGGAGGGAACAACATTCAGAAATCCAGATGATTTTAAATCCTTTTGCTAATGCATGATTTGTGTCTCCATGGTAACTGCTGCACATTCCACCATACACATACATGCAGACCCCCCCCCCCCCAGCGCGGCCTGAGGTAACGTCTCTCTGGGTTCTGTCTCTTTCAGGGTGGTGGAACCTGGAGGTGTTCTGAAGTGGGACGTGGAGTTTTTCCCTTACGGACTCGGACTCAAAAAACTCTCCTCTGTGTTGATCGTCAACGACTCCGCCATGGTCAGTCCTGCTTTAGTCCTGGTTCAGTCCTGGTTTAGACCTGGTTTAGTCCTGGTTTAGACCTGGTTTAGACCTGGTTTAGTCCTGGTTAGACCTGGTTTAGACCTGGTTTAGTCCTGGTTTAGACCTGGTTTAGTCCTGGTTTAGTCCTGGTTTAGTCCTGGTTTAGACCTGGTTTAGACCTGGTTTAGTCCTGGTTTAGACCTGGTTTAGACCTGGTTTAGTCCTGGTTTAGACCTGGTTTAGACCTGGTTTAGTCCTGGTTTAGACCTGGTTTAGTCCTGGTTCAGTTCTGGTTTAATCCTGCTTTAGACCTGGTTTAGACCTGGTTTAGTCCTGGTTTAGACCTGGTTTAGTCCTGGTTCAGTTCTGGTTTAATCCTGCTTTAGACCTGGTTTAGACCTGGTTTAGTCCTGGTTTAGACCTGGTTTAGTCCTGGTTTTGTCCTGCTTTAGACCTGGTTTAGTTCTGGTTTAATCCTGGTTTAGTCCTGGTTTAGTCCTGGTTCAGTTCTGGTTTAATCCTGGTTTAGTCCTGGTTTCAGTCCTGGTTCAGTCCTGGTTCAGTCATGGTTTAATCCTGGTTTAGTCCTGGTTCAGTCCTGGTTAGTCCTGGTTCAGTCCTGGTTCTGTCCTGGTTTAGTCCTGGTTCAGTCATGGTTTAGTCCTGGTTCAGTCCTGGTTCAGTCCTGGTTCTGTCCTGGTTTAGTCCTGGTTCAGTCATGGTTTAGTCCTGGTTTAGTCCTGGTTCAGTCATGGTTTAGTCCTGGTTCAGTCATGGTTTAGTCCTGGTTTAGTCCTGGTTTAGTCCTGGTTCAGTCATGGTTTAGTCCTGGTTTAGTCCTGGTTCAGTCATGGTTTAGTCCTGGTTAATCCTGGTTCAGTCATGGTTTAGTCCTGGTTTAGTCCTGGTTTAGTCCTGGTTTAGACTCTTTTCTCTGTGTTTTTTTCAGGCCTGGGGATTCGTTGACGTGGAGGTTCTTCCTCCTCCTCATTGGTCGTCCTATGGCTCCGCCCCTTTTGGAGTTCCTCGACTCATGCGCTCCAGTCGCTCGGGGGACGGGGCTTAGACCAGACGAAGGCCTCTGATTCGCTCTTCGCTTCTGTCAATCATGATTAAAATCAGTGTAATCTTTTATGAACACAAACACGTTTCAGCACATGAGCCGCAGCTTCAAGTCTCCACCAGGTTTCACCAAACAGTCACAGCCACTTGTACCCCAGACACACTTTAAACCAGATGCCCTCCCTGTCACAGCCACTTTTACCCCAGACACAACCAGATGCCCTCCCTGAGTCTTATCCACTGAACTCGATCAGTACGAGTTTTTAAATCAATACGCATCTTTAGATTCAACTTGGTCTATGTCAGGGGTGTCCAAACGTTTTTCATCAAGGGCCAGAGGACTAGACAAGGACTAAACCAGGACTAAACCCGGACTGGACCAGGTCTAAACCAGGTCTAAACCAGGACTAAACCAGGACTAAACCAGGACTAAACCAGGACTGAAGCAGCTCCTGGTCTCCACACAGACGAGGCAGAGGTTTGATCCAGGGCCGTAGTCTGGAGCTCAGTACAGTGAATAATTAAAATCTGTGCAGGTTTAACACGTTAGAATGAGGCTCAGATCCTTAAAACCAAACACAAAATATTCAATATTGGCTTTATCAAGGTAGATGTTCAAAAAAATTTGAAGTAAAAAGTAAATTTTTAATTGATTTAAGGTCATTTGGGTCAATTCACCTGGAAGCCTGAGGGTCAAGAAAAATTTGTCTGAGGGCCGCATTTGGCCCACGGGCCATAGTTTGGACATACCTGGTCTATGTTATAATTTTACCAGTTAATTTTTATCTTTTAAATGTGTTCGATTTGATTTTTAACTTCAAGATTTAATAATGCTGATCTGTTTTACTAACAATAAAGCATCCACAAAGACCTGTGTCTGTGTCACAGTTTTATCTAATCATTTTATAAAAACTATCCACATTTTTTTTCTTATCTTCATATCTTCAATTTCTGTTAGTAATAATTTAACATCTAGACTTAGACTGGTGTGGTTTTAAATTATTATATATTCTTTAAACATGGGTTTGGATGGTATTTTAGCATTAATTATCTCTAAAATGTGATTGTTTTACATTATTATTATTTTTTTAATTGTTTTACATAATTATTTTTCATTGCAGCCTTCACCCTTCACGTGCCCTTTATGATTTTTACTATAAATGGTGAATAATTTTAAGCAGATAAAACAGAAAAGACTAAACTCTGCCAATTCGGCCTTTAATCGTTTTTAATATCACGTGATTTTAGAGTCACATGATTTGGGTAAAAAGCAAAACAAACCGATTTCCTTTCACTTTTCAAAATAAAAGCTGCAATACGCTTTAAACATGAAAAACTGAGTACAAATAAAAGTAGTTTGAGGCAAAACGTAGTAAATTATAATAAAAACTATGTCTTCTTGCGTGAACATGAATATAAACCGTATTAAAATGCTCAAATGTAGAGTTGATAGTTTTAATTTGAAGGACGCAGGTGACGCTGTGGACGTCGCTCTCGCGCACACCGCAGCGGAACTCTTCGGAACACTTTTTATTTTTATATTGTTATTCTTATTTTCATGCATATTTGACTCCGGGACGTACAGGAGCGGGACATGTCCGAGGAGCATTACCTGGAGCTGAGCGACAGCNTTTTTATCTTTTTTAGGCCCCATTAAACAAAAAAAATGACCTCTGCTGCTGTGAGCACCTTTTTCTACATTTCCTACCTGTATATAGCAGACAAGTGCTTATGTGTTTAAGTTGATCTTTTTAAAATGGCTAAGCCCTTGTTTTGACACCAAGAACTGTGCCCCTTTCCTTCACACTGCCCACTTTTAATTGATGTTTCACTAATCCTTGATTTACTAAACGTGAAGATGTCATGGGTATTTAGTGTTTAGCAATGTGTTTTTATTTGTTTGTTTAGCAGCTACAATCAAGTATCTGTCATGATTATTTTTTAACACTTAGGGCTGAGATTTGGTCATGGATGGTACAATGTATGTAAAAACAAATCTCATTATTTTGGTGTCTTTTTGATGAAACTGGAATTATTGTCTGTTTGAATAAACAGTTGTGAAGAAGTGGTTCCTTGTAAGATAATTAGTCTATTTTAAAACATATTTGTCAGTCTCTTCATCATATTTATGTTCATTGTGTCAACATAAGTATTATTAATTTATTAGATTAATTTCTTAATAGGCCTATAATGAACTATAAACACAATAAGTGCCCTAGATAACACCATACTGGAGTGGCATGGCTAATGGTAGTCATTTTAAAGATGCACTATGGAACTTTTCGAGGATCTGCTACCTGCCTGTTTCTGTTGAGTCAATTAAATGTGTGTTATTGCTATAAATTCTAGGTAAAGCAAAACTATCTACATGGAGTCAAGCAGGTAGCGGACTCTTCATCAGAAAAGTTCCGTAGTACACCTTTAAGTTTGGCATTTGAAACAAAACTGTCGCCCTTCACCCTGCTCAGACATTTGCTCGGAGGCACGGCTCTGGATGTGCTAAACTTAGCGGTGACACTCTTCGACACAGCGACAGTCGACTCTACAGTGAGCTACAATGGAAGGTGTCGAGTTTCCTCACACGGGACAGTTTCTCCACGGGAAAGCTGCAAAAACAAGGTGAGAGCCTCATCCTCAGCTCGCTGTAATCTGTTAATTGGTTTACTGAGCACTAGAGCCTGTCTGTGTCTATGTCAGTGTGTATTGGGGGACTGTAAAACAAAGTAGCCCACACATTTGTTTTCTGCAACTGTCAGATACAAACAGCTGTCTTGGAAATGGCAACTAAACTTAGCTTCTTATAATCCTTAAGATTCAATTCAGTGTTCTCCATAGAAAAACAGGCCCACTGAGAGAACAGATTTATACTTTGCTGTTGTCATTTGTCTCATAGATGTAGTTTTGTTATAGCAGCGTCTACCCTTCTTGTAGTCTTCTCCTCTGTGTGTCTTTGATGGGCAACTATAGCTCAGTCCTCATTCCGGGTAAGCCTCATAACTATAACCTTTTAAGTGAAAAAACGAAACAAAAGAAAAAACATGAAAACACTGGAGAGCAAAAACTGAACTGTTTATTTTATTTTAAAGATACTGAAGAATTTGAGTCTATTGTGGCTCTAGTGACAGAAAAACCAAATGAGCCCAGCCGTTTACTGTCCGAGCTTCAGACTCTGGGAAGTATTCCACTCATAGCTGTATATACTGTACATTTTATCATCATTAAAATGACTCAACATGTGTAACAGTGTTTACCTCCACTTAAACATTGTGTCATTTTATTCATTCATTCTACAGTAACACGTGGGAGTTTTGTTTTGGCCTGTGTGTCCTTGGGATGATTTTAACTTCCTTTGGCTGACTCAGATGACCACTCATTGAAACACTAGATAACTTGGCTCTGACCTTCTACTAAACTTTCAGTATGATGAATTTAAATTTAATTCAGTGATCAGATATCTTGAAATCTTGTCTTACAGGTGAATATGGAATCAGGGAGAGGAAATGACCAATGTGTTGATGAAGATTCAAGTAAAGAAAAGTCTGACACTGTAAGTCAAACTGCACAATAGGCAGTTACTAGTTATTATCTCGGCTTGTATGGTTCAATAAATAGTAACTGGATACTTACACTACACTAATACTTTATGTTGAGTTGCATTTAAATTATACTGTAAATACACCTCTTAGAAAAATAACTACCAAAATGAAACATGGAATGAAAAAGTAACAGTACCTGAATACATTTATTCAAAGTGAGTTTTCTGAATATGTATTCTTAGTACGTGTATTCACTTACTTCCCAACACTGACTGTGACAGACCTACTGCACAACAAGTATAACTTTTTATCTGCAATAAACTTTCTTTTATTTTCTAGTCTATATCAGCAACATCAAAAGGAGAGCCTCCAGCTTCCAGTTTGGGTGATTCCCTCTCCTCTCTGCTTCCCAAAGCCTTGTCCGCTGTTTCTCCATCAGACAGTTCCCCCTGGACAAAGCAGGAGCCATCCCCACCAGTGAGAACTCAACAGCAAACTCCTCACAACCGCCGAACCTGGAGCAGCTGCAGACTGAGCTGACAGTCCTGAGGGGGCAGTTTGAGCAGATGAAGGCCCACACAAGTGAGTCAAAATAAACTAACACATACACTGTATATATTGTCTGTACTTACAAGTTATAACTATAACTGTCATGCATGGTGGCAGATGGTTAACTTACAAATTGAACACTTCCATGTCAAAAAAATTTGTCTGAGGGCCGCATTTGGCCCACGGGCCATAGTTTGGACATACCTGGTCTATGTTATAATTTTACCAGTTAATTTTTATCTTTTAAATGTGTTCGATTTGATTTTTAACTTCAAGATTTAATAATGCTGATCTGTTTTACTAACAATAAAGCATCCACAAAGACCTGTGTCTGTGTCACAGTTTTATCTAATCATTTTATAAAAACTATCCACATTTTTTTCTTATCTTCATATCTTCAATTTCTGTTAGTAATAATTTAACATCTAGACTTAGACTGGTGTGGTTTTAAATTATTATATATTCTTTAAACATGGGTTTGGATGGTATTTTAGCATTAATTATCTCTAAAATGTGATTGTTTTACATTATTATTATTTTTTTAATTGTTTTACATAATTATTTTTCATTGCAGCCTTCACCCTTCACGTGCCCTTTATGATTTTTACTATAAATGGTGAATAATTTAAGCAGATAAAACAGAAAAGACTAAACTCTGCCAATTCGGCCTTTAATCGTTTTTAATATCACGTGATTTTAGAGTCACATGATTTGGGTAAAAAGCAAAACAAACCGATTTCCTTTCACTTTTCAAAATAAAAGCTGCAATACGCTTTAAACATGAAAAACTGAGTACAAATAAAAGTAGTTTGAGGCAAAACGTAGTAAATTATAATAAAAACTATGTCTTCTTGCGTGAACATGAATATAAACCGTATTAAAATGCTCAAATGTAGAGTTGATAGTTTTAATTTGAAGGACGCAGGTGACGCTGTGGACGTCGCTCTCGCGCACACCGCAGCGGAACTCTTCGGAACACTTTTTATTTTTATATTTTTATTCTTATTTTCATGCATATTTGACTCCGGGACGTACAGGAGCGGGACATGTCCGAGGAGCATTACCTGGAGCTGAGCGACAGCCCCGTCACCTTTGAACACGCGTCCAGCGTCAACAACGTTTTCTTCGATGAGGCCAACAAACAGGTTAGCCTAGCCTCTTAGCATTAGCATTAGCATTAGCGCTGGTTCTGCAGAGCGGCTCGTTTTGGTTTTGGTTTTGAAAATTCTTTTTAGTTTACGTGATATTATGATTATGTGAGAAACGTGCACGTAACTTTATATATTTGAGTTTGGTCTCTATAGAAATACTCGACTCATTCATTCAAACAGACTGGAGAAAAGTTCTGATTGGACTTTAATTCTTCTTCTGTTTTTTATTGTATTTTCTAACTTATTAAAGCGCTTTATATTTTTATAATCAGTAAATCCTCCTGATGTTCTGATGATGTTTGGGTACGACCAGTGTTGGGGAGTAACAGATTACATGTACCAGAGTTATGTAATCAGAGTACAAATGATGAGTAACTGTATTCAGTTACAGTTACTGTTTCAGTGAGTGGGAATTGGATTACAGTTACTTTGTTGAAATAAATGGATTACACAGAGGGATTTTCCTGTTTTCACATTTTGGGTTAAACCAGGAATAAAACCAGATCTAAACCAGGTCTAAACCTGATCTAAAACCAGGTCTAAACTATGTCTCAAACAGGATTGAACAGGACTAAATCCTGCTGTGTGGACGTGTTTCTTCTTCTTCTATCAATAATATTTTTAATTTGGTTCAGTAAAGTCTGGACTTTTTATTTTCTTTTATCAGATAAAACTCCTCATGTGTAGATTTCCTCGTCTTTGCTTCTCTACAGCAAATCAAGTAATCCAAAGTAATCAGATTACATTACTCACTTTAACTAATTTAATGGATTACGTTACAAACTACATTTTGGTGTATGTAATCTGTAGGGGATTACATTTTAAAAGTAAACTTCCCAACACTGGGTACGACTGAATAAAAAGTTATTTATACAGAAGTGAGTGTTGAAGTTTCATTCTTCTTCCTCTTATGACTAGGACTGGGTGTCATTAAGAAGTTACCGATACTATACATATCTCGATACATAGGCCATGATACGATACACTTTTCGATACAGTGAGCTTTCGATTCAATACGATTCGATACAATATATTTCACATCGATTCGATACAGTTCAGTGTAAAAAAGGCTAAATGAATCTCTAATACTAAAAGTCCACTGAGTTTGTGAAAAGTGAATGTGAAAAACATCTATTTTACTCAAAACACTGAAAATGTCAACACAACTGTAGCTCTTATGCAAACTAATGTAAAAATATACCTAAAATATATCGATAGAGCAGCCCACGCTATCGATACTGTATCAGCAC